TTTAACCAAATGCAGGGACACCCCATGGCACATTCAAGTTGACACATAAAATTGACCATCATGTACATCTTCTCTGATTTCTTTTTCCTCTTCTTCATTTCATTGCCTGACATCATACTGTGGGCAGTTGGATGTCACAGGTCACGTGGCACCTTCCCTGGAGCCAGGAAGACCTGCCATTTACCAGGTAATGGACCTTGATCTCCTATGAGAAAGCCACTGGATCTCTCTGAGCTTCAGTTTTCTCGCCTGTACATGGAGACTGCAGCATCCCAGTGCCCTCTTCCAGGGCTGTGGAGAGTAAATGGGATGCTATATGGAAACCACCTTGAGCAAAGCCCCACACCTGGTAAGCGGGAGCTTAGATATCACTGCAGAAGACTCTTTTTGTAACCAAACATTGAGTCCCACTTAGCAAAGCTTCCTTTAGGTTTGACTGGATTTTTTTGTTTTGTTTTGTTTTTGCAAGTTTTCTTCATCTAAGGCATTAGCCTTTAATGGGCAGAGGTCAGCCAAGAATGTGTCAGCGAAAGCTCAGTCTCAACACCACACGGTGGAAGGCAGAGCTCAGAGGCAGGAGGCCCAGCAGCTGGACAATGCCTGGGGGCCCTGGTCTGCGTCCCAAGGAGAGGCATGCTTGTACCTGCATAGCTGGATCCATCACAGTTTGTGCTCCAGGACAGACTCTGCCAGCCATCTCACTTTTTGTAGGTCAAGCAGGAGAGTGGATTTGCTTGCTGGGGAGAAACAGACTGAGCTGGATAGTCAACTGCTCAGGAAGGTTGCACATCCTGGCACTTATGAAGAAGAGGAGACATGGGTCACAGTGCATCCCAGGCAGCCCAGGGGAAGCTGTCAGACCACCCAGAAGACAATCATTACTCCCTATAAGAGCAGTAAAGCAACAGTCTTCCATCAACAGAGAAACTGCCTCTGCACTTAGCATGTGAGTTTACATGCACATTAGCAAAGACAAACACCTTCAGAGGGAGGGGCAGAGAAGAGCCTCCTGGATGTTTCCTTTTTGCTGTTATTGTCTTCGGGCCAAAAGGGGATGAGAATATTGAATGCAGAAATGGGACTTTGATGTCAGATTGCTGTATTCTGGGTCTTACTATAAGTGGGAGGTGAAATTCAATTGTTTTCAAGTTTTCTGTCCCTAAACTGTGGCTCCTTCTATGACTTCTCAAAAATGAATGAAGCTGAGTGTTTGGAGTGGAAAATTTGTAACAGATATCCTTGTTTGTTTTTTAATGTTTCTGCATTAGAAATAAATCACCAACAGAAAGAAAGTGAGATGAGCATCTCAAAAATTCAAGTGTGTGAATTGAAATCTTAATTCTTTCTTTGCTTGGCCTTTCTAACCACAAAATTACACACTCATGTATCCTTCCTCAAAATTTGGGATGCTTCTATGGAAATCTCAGTTAAATGTTTATGAGAACAAAATGTTCCATATTCTTACAACCAGAATCCAGTAAAACAGAATTTCACCTTTAAGGCAATTTTCAGTTGATGGGACAGGAATATGACCCTCAGCCACGTTCTTTCAGCACCTTGGAGAGTGACAGCTCTCCTTTCTGGTGTCTTTGCCCAGTCAAGGGCGCCAACTCAGTTTAATTATTTCCCAGGGCAGAACTATGAAATAGGCAGGGAAGAAAGGGAACATGAGTT